CTGGTTTTGAGAGCCAAGTATTTTATAAAAATTAATTTTGTTTAGTAAATATCAGACACTGTGCTAAGAGTTTTGGTCAGTTATCTCATTTAATCCACACAAAAATCCTGTGAAGAATGTACTATTGCTATCTCCTTTTCAATAATAGATGAGAACTCTATTAAAAATGTTTCTCAAGGTCATGGAGTTAGTAAGTGGTAGAGCTGGGTGTTGAACCCAGAGTCTAATTCCTAACAATCTTAATTTCTTTCTTTTTCTTTTCTTTCTTTAGAGATTTTTTTTTTTTTTTTTGCTATAGTGTTCATACACTCACCGGAGATACAGAGAGACAGAAAGCAAGATATTATACACACACACACCTGGGGGGATGGTCATACCATAATCCCTTTTCCTCCATTCTTCTCTTCAGATTTTGGGCACGCACATACACGAACCCAGGGTGAGTTTCAAGGCACTGAATCTGGGACTCAAACTGTGGTCAACCATGTGGGAGTCCAGTAACATAATCATTATGCCATCTGCTGGGCCTCCTACAATCTTAATTTATACATTGTATAGTTCCTTACTTTATGGATAATATGCTTTTTCTAAACATTTATCTCTAAAAAGTTATCTTTGTAAATTTCTAAGAGGTTAATCCGGCTCATTCATATATGTATTTATCATTCATTTATTTAATAGATAATTATAAGGGACCAGCAGGTGGCGTGGTGGTTAAGGTGCTGGATACTCCTACACGGCCGATGGTTCAAGTCCTCCCTGAACCTCGTGGCTTGCTTTCTCACTTTCCCTCTCTCTCTGTGTCTCTCTCTAGTTGAATTAAAATAAATGAATGAATAAATAAAATTAAATAAATAATTCTTTTAAAAAATAGATAACTATAAACAAATTCTAAGTGCTAGATATTTAGCCATGGGGATCCAGTGGTTTACTAACAGGCACACATACTGGAACTTATTTCAAGTGGTAAATATGGGAATTAAATAAGTTTATGAATAGAGAAAAAGCTATAATTTGCAATATTCATTGTAATAGGCCCAGCTGCTGTGGTGAACTGGTACACAGTAACTAGCAAGGCTGGAAGCCACTGGAATGCCACAAGTTTGGATCTCTGATTTATAGAATGCATGCACGCTTGTGGGTGCCCAGGATCTTGAGGACCAGGAGGACTCTGGAAAGAGGATCACTGCATGATGAGACCCTGTTGAAAGTTCTTCTGTCTCTCTCTCATGCACATACACACATTGTCATAATTTTTTAAAAAATTTAAAAAGCTACAATAGGAATTAATGTGGGAAATGAGTCTATTTTAGATACAATGGTCAAAGAAGGCCTTGCAGAAGATAAGGAGACAGCCAGAAATGTGTAGCAGGTAAATGGGCAAAAGCCCTGAGGCCAAAAACAAAGATTCATATTTTCAAGGGAGAAACAGGGTAAATTCTAGTCTGAGTGGAGTGCCGCCATGGAGGGCAGTTAAACAACGAGGTAAGGTTACTCAGGGCTGGGATTGGGAGGCCCTCGCTCTAAACAGTGCCTCTTTAAATATCGTGCCCTCGGCACTTCAGTTGCAGTACTTGAATCTCAGCCTTGAGGACAGGCATGTCAATTTAAGCCAGATCTGGCAGGATATGGAGGGACCTATGAGATCTGAAGTACTTGCAGCAAGAATCACTGATACACTGATGAGTGTAGATGAAAATCACAGGAGATCCCAAAATTGTTGACTTTAGTAACTGGGCAGATGGTATGTCACTGAAATGTCCCAGACGGTCTGAGGAGAAGGGTTGGGTGGAAATCTAGCTTCCCTATGGCCATGCTAAGTTGAGATACATATGGAACATCTAAGTGGAGATGCCAAGCAGAGGAGCTATGATATGTGGGAAGGTCAGAGCAGAGCTCTGGGCCAGACGTGAAACCAGGAAGCCTCTCACCTTAGAGGAAGAAATGCCTGTAATTTCCTAGGAAGAAAGAACAAATAGGGAAGAGAAGAGGAAGTACAGAGAGGTCAGAAAGATAACGAGAAGGCAACAAAGAGCCTAAGAATGCTGAGCCCAGAAAGTTGGAGGAAAAGAACAATGGGAGGAATGTGGTATCAGAAGTTAAGATAGAATTTTGGAATGTTGGTTTTTGTGTTGTTGGTTTGTTTTATAAGGATACTCTTGAAGGAATACAGACTGCTTTTTAAATTTAAAAAAGTAATTTCTTTAGCTTTTTGCCATAGGATGCATGCGCTCATCAGAGAGAGAGACAGAGAAAGTGGAAGTGAAAAATCACCCTCTCGGGGAAAAGGCCATGTCACAATCCCTTCTCCTCCATTCTCCTCCTGGGATTTTAGGCACGCATGCACACACACCTGATGTGATTTTCAAGCTGACAGATTGGGGGCTTGAACCATGGTTGGCCATTTGGAGTCTAGCACCTTACCCACCACACGACCTATTGTCCCCAGACTGCTTTTAAGCAGTTTTACTGTAGAGTCCAACAGGTGGAATGGTAGTTAATGTGCTAGACTCCCACATGGTTGACCACTGTTCAAGTCCTGGACTCAGCAGTTAAAAAAGAAAAAAGAAAGTCACACTGGGTATGTATATATGTATGTATGCTCAAAATCCTGAGAGGAGAATGGAGGAGATGGGATTGCAGTGTAGCCATTCCCCTGGGGAATGATTTCTCACTTTTCCTCTCTCTCTCTCTTTGGAGTGCATATGCCTTATAGCAAAACCCTTTTTTTTTTTTTATTAAGTTTTACTGTAAATTAGACGGAGATAAGGGACCAGAGTGGAGTGAAAGGAGGATTGTTTTTCCTATTATTATAATATAAAGTATACTAGACCGCATTTGTAAACTGGAATGATCTAGTAGAAAGAAGTTTATGATATAAAAGGAAGAGGAGAAACAATTGGAAAGAAAGTAGTGAAAAGCTGTAAGTATGGATGGATTAAAGGACAAAAATGGGAAGATTACTCCTAAAACACAGGAGAGGCATTTCCTCTCTTATCAAAGAAAGATAGCTCAAACAGTACAGATACAGAAAGGTCTGCAAATTTAATAAAAAGCAGCTTAAGAGAAGCTTATGGATTCCATGTTTTCAGTGAAATTTAAGCTATGTCTCTGAAATCTGGTAGAGAAAAAGGATGGGCATTTTGAAGAAAGCAGGGGAGGTTGAGTAGTTATCTCTAAGAAAGGAAAACCACACTTCCTGAGGACATGCCATTGGGTTACCAGGTAGTGTTAAGTGCCCATCTAGGACTGGTGATCATGAATTGTGCATAAAACTGGTTAGCCCAAAGACTGATGCTTCCAGACCAGTTTAGTAAGCTGCTTGAAGGCCAACACAGGAAAGGTAGATGTTTGGTTTCAACCAGATTTGGGTTCTGATAGACAAGTAAAAGAGAGAGCAAGAGAGTGAAGCAATTATCTAAGAATACAACATTTGCAGGTCATCCCATAACCTGGTGGTTAAGGTGGCTGGATCCCACATGACCAGCTCCATGATTTGAGTCCCAGATCTGGAGGCATGTGTGTGTCCATGCCCAAAATCTTGAAAGGAGAGAGAGATGGAGGAGAAGAGATTGCAGTGTAACATGTCCCATGGCGGAGTGTGTGTGTGTGTGTGTGTGTGTGTGTGTGTGTGTGTGCTTTCTTGCTTTCCCTCTCTGTCTCTCTCTGATGAGTGAATTTGGCCTCTGGCAAATTTTTTTAAAAGTTTGATATTTACAAAATTCGATGGAATCTGTACTGGGCAAGGATGGAAATGAAGACTAAAGGATGTTGAGAATAGAAGAAGGGGGAGTACTTAATGGACTAGAAGCCTTGTGAAGACAAAGGAAAGTTGCCAGATTGCCTGGAAGTTTTGTAGGCTGTAACTGGACAGGGGAAGGCTCAAAACTGAGATTTCAGAGGCGGTAGTGCAGTTTTCAGTGGTGACAAGATTCATGATATAACCACCGGCTGGGGGCTGACCATGAAGTGGCAGAAAATTAATCAGGGATGATAGGCTCAAGTTACTGAGAAGCCAGGGAGATGCTAAGGAAAACGAGATCTTTAAAAAAAAAAAATTCCCTCAGGCAACAAAAGATTGATGCAACCCTTTTAGTGCTTCCTTTACCCACAGCTATGGGAATTATGCCACCTACTTTCCACTTTTATTTACGTGCTTGTTTTGTTTTTGAAAATAAACCACGGAAGTTTTTCTTCTCACGGTTCTGGAGGCGAGGAAGTCCAACATGAGAAGGCCCTTGTAGATTCAGTTTCTGCTAGGGGCTGTCTTGTCTGTCCTCACCTGGTGAAAGGTTTGGCCTTTTCAAATATGTATTAGCACCTGTTTTATCAGTTTGTGCTACCACCCTATATAGCACTGGTACCAACACAAAGATGCTGTAATGTAAATCAATGGTTTTAGTTTCTTTACAAATCATACCACTTTGGAATTTTGAACCATGTTCCTTTATAGTAAAGATGTTTGCAGTGTATTTGAATAGCAGTTGTCTCTGAATAGCAGGCATATTAAGAACTGCAAGGCCCTCCCTGTAGCACAGTGGTTAAGCAATACCTTCAGAGAGCCAAATCCCACATTGCTGACCACAGTTCAAATTCTAGGCCTAGTGGTTTGAAAAATACACAAGGTGTGTATGCATGTGTTCCCAGCATTCTGAGGGATGGAGAATTGAAGAAAGGGATTTCAGTGTGACCATGCAATACTGGAGGAGGAAGAAGTGCTTTCTCTCTTTTCTCTACTCTTTGATGAGCATACACACCCTTTGGAAAAACAAAACAATCAGATAAATCTGCAGAGCCTAGTTTATAAAAATGGAATTTTGAGAAGAATTTGAAAAACATACATGTTTTCATTTCCTGCTCTTTCTTTTCTTAACCTCCTTTTGTGGAGTTAACTTTATGTTCCATTCCATATTCTTGAGAATACTGATTATTTCAATTCCTTGTTGTAATTACATATTAAAGCAATTGCACCGATAATACATATTTTTCTAGAATGCAAACTCTTCAAGGACAAAGATTAATAGTGCCTGACACATAGTAGGTACATGATCCATGGTTGTAGAATGAATACGTATTGTAGAAAATACATATTAGGAACATGAAAAAAATACCTTTTCTACAAACTAGAAGTCTCCTCTGATCCTTTCATATATATAATCTATTAATACTTTAATAAATATCCTACTAGCCATACAAATATGTGTGTGTATATATATAACAAAATGTCTAGGAATAATCACCAAATACAGGACAGTGATTACCCTCTCAGGTGGAGAAAGAAAAGGGGTTGTGATTGAGGAAATCTGTACCAAGAGTTTTGACAATACTGACAATATTTTTTTCTCAAGTTGGATGGTGGACATATATTATGTTTTTCATTATCTTTTTGTATATCTGAATTACTTCATATTGTATTTAATATCTTTCCAGATTTTTAAAATGTATACAAGATACATGTTTATTTTAGAAAAATGCATACATACCTATCAGGTTGGTTTTTTTTTTTTTTTTTTTTATTTTTTTCATTGGGGGCACTGTTTTTTTTTTAATTTTTGCCATAGGGTGCATGTGCTTGCCAGAGAGAAACAAGAGAAAGTGAGAGGGAAAGTGAGAAATTATTTCCTGTGGGGGATGGCCATACTGCAATCCCTTTTCTTCCATTCTCCTGGGATTTTGGGTATGCACACACATGTGCCTGATGTGACTTTTAAGTTGCTGGACTTGAACTGTGGTTGGCCATCTGAGAGTCCAGCTCTGTAAAAAACACAGTGCCACCCGCTGGTTGCACCTATCAGTTTTAAATCCTGATTTCTCACTTTTTTTCTCTTTTACTTTGCATGTCTCCATATTAGTAAATGTACTTCTATACGCCACATCAATTTTATTTCACAGAATTATAATGTATGAGGTACAATTTAGTAAGCTATTGATACTTTCCTGTCAGGGAACAATCAATAAATAATTTTGAGCTCCTGTGAGCCAGGACATTTAGGTTGTTACCACTTTTAAAAAAAAATATTCTTTATTTTTAAGTTCACCAGAGGATGCCTGTGCTTGCCAGAGAGAGAGGAAGAAAGTTCTGCCAGTGGAGCATGGTCATGCCACAGTCCTTCCTTTCTCTGTCTCTTCATCCTGTTGGGATTTGGAGCACACATGCACATGCAGCCAGCATGTTTTTCTCATGCTGCTGGATCCAGGAATCAGACTACACAGTCAAGACAATGCCTTTTCTTCCATTCTCCTGGGATTTTGGGTATGCACACACATGTGCCTGATGTGACTTTTAAGTTGCTGGACTTGAACTGTGGTTGGCCATCTGAGAGTCCAGCTCTGTAAAAAACACAGTGCCACCCGCTGGTTGCACCTATCAGTTTTAAATCCTGATTTCTCACTTTTTTTCTCTTTTACTTTGCATGTCTCCATATTAGTAAATGTACTTCTATACGCCACATCAATTTTATTTCACAGAATTATAATGTATGAGGTACAATTTAGTAAGCTATTGATACTTTCCTGTCAGGGAACAATCAATAAATAATTTTGAGCTCCTGTGAGCCAGGACATTTAGGTTGTTACCACTTTTAAAAAAAAATATTCTTTATTTTTAAGTTCACCAGAGGATGCCTGTGCTTGCCAGAGAGAGAGGAAGAAAGTTCTGCCAGTGGAGCATGGTCATGCCACAGTCCTTCCTTTCTCTGTCTCTTCATCCTGTTGGGATTTGGAGCACACATGCACATGCAGCCAGCATGTTTCTGAAGCCACCAGCCCATGTGGAATCAGACTACACAGTCAAGCCATGTGGGATCCGGCTCCCTTAACCTCTAGACCATAGGGCTGGCCCTGTTGCCACTTCTAAAAAACATTATAAATGTAATCCTTTACTAATTACTTGAAAGTCAAAGGGCTTGACTTTCTCTCAATGTGAGTGAGTGAGTGAAAAGTGAGGAGATAATATGGAGTAAGATAACTGGATAAATATTTAACCAAAATAAATATTGAATCAAATATTTAAATATCTAAATATTTAACCAAAGAAAAGAATTCATTATTCTCTTCCAATTCACAGGCACACTGAAATATTTCTTTCTCTGTAGCCAGTCATCGCCCCAGAGCCTGCTGGCATGGCCAACTGGAAGAATTGGTCTCCTTTACCAGGGTTAAGAATTGTCTTGCCTGCTGCTATGCATACTTGCTGGTATTTTCCTTTGGATCTAGCTTTTATTCCCCCAGTGAGAAAGAAGTAACAGTAGTACAACAATGACTGTGTTCTTCAGAACACAAAGGAATGAGGAACTCAGGCAAAATTGTCCACATGCAGAACTGGTCTGAGCCTTTGGACTGGACTGACCAAGTTATAAATCAACAACTGGCTTGACCATTTTTCTCCACTTATCTAAACAGTGGGTGGCTGAATTACTAATCAACTGAGCAAATTCACTTAAGCATGAAAGGTAGATGCAGTAATTTATCCTAATGATTGGGATAATGTTCTGCATATGACCCTAGTATAATCCCAATCTGTGTGCACAGTAAGGGCATTGGGCTGATGTACTGAAGGTATAAAGAGAAGATTTCTCTTAGGAGTCTGTTCTTGTGTACAGAAAGTATACCCATAACCTGTTTGTGAATTTTATCATTTTGGATGTACTTTCAGGGATGGCGTATGCTCTACTGGCTGCAGTTCCTGTTGGGTATGGTCTCTACTCTGCCTTTTTCCCTATTTTGACATACTTTATCTTTGGAACATCAAGACATATCTCAGTTGGTAATTATAAACATCTTACAATTGTATTTGCACATGTCTAAACTGTTTCTGCTATGTTGTACACATCATGTTTCCATATCTTTGTTAATATTTTTCAGGAAAACTGGGCTCAGTGCTCTGCTACTTTTTCAGTTCAAGGATATTAGTTAGTGTTATACATAACTTTTTTTTTTAATTAAGAGGAGAATTTTGAAAATCTGAAAATTAGAGCTTACCTTCAATGTTGGCATATTTGAGATTTATACATATATTTTATTTTATTTTTTTTAAGTTTTTTTTTTTTTTTTTTTTTTTTTTCTATAGATGGAGAGTGAGACAGAGACAATAAAAGAGAATTTTTTTTTTTTTTTTTAATTTTTTTTTTTTTTTTTTTTTTTGCTATAGAGTGTATACACTCACCAGAAAGAGACAGAGAGAAACAGAACAAGTGAGAAATCACCTCCCTTTGGGGGTGGTCATGCTGCAATCCCTTCTCCTCTCAGGATTTTGAATATGCACACACATGTGCCAGGCATGATTTTCAAGCCACTGAATCCAGGACTCAAACTGTGGAGCAGTGTAACCACCACACCACCTGCTAGATTGACATATTTGATTTTTTTAAAATATTATAAATTTCATTCTATATTCAGAAAGCATTCTCTTCCAAAATGTAAATTGATATGGAAAGAAAAATCTCACAAGATCTTTGAATCTACTATTTTACTAGATTAACTTGGTACTTGCTAAATGATGGTTGTCAAATATATATTCGTTATTCCATTAAAGAGCATAATTATGCTAATTCATCAATACAGGAAAACTGGCTAAATTTTCCCCAAACAAGTTAGGAACTAAGCTTGGCTTTCCTTTTTGGTTTGGTTCATAATAGGTTTTCCTACCATTTCTAAAATATGAGTTCTTTTTTTGCTAGAATGTTCTAGTAAAAAGAATGTTTTAATGCTATTTTGTGACTTTGACATTTACACTAGAGATAATTTTGCTCCTACATCCATCTGCTGGCTAGACATGTCTACCTGGATGAGCCTCCACCACCTACTCTATCCCCACCCATGTCCCTGTCCTTAACTGTATCTCCTAGTCTGTAGCTTATTGCCTCGTCTAGGAGAGGAGATCAGGAAGAGGTTATTGATTGAAAGAACTTCCCGACCTTGAGAAATCAGTCTGTACCAAATTCTCCACTAGGTCAGGAACATAGAAGCTGATTTTTGCCCCTGGTAAGTTATACATTTAGACATTCCAGGTTACTGTGTTTGGTACTGGATCTTTCCACCCATAAAACTTTCTATGATCAAAGAATCAGATTATCATGATGGGTAAAAATATCAGTAGTAAAAGGAGCAGCTGCTGAAAAAAAGGAGTTCTGTTTTTCTTCCAACCATAGGTTCTTACAATTAGAATTTGATATTAAAAAAAAAAAGTTGTCTTGCAAATGAAAAGAGACATAGATATTCCTCTTTGCTCTTCCTTAATTCTAATTTAAAAACCCTGTGTTATTGGTCAAGGTACTCAGACTCTCAGAGATCAGAACAATGAACACTCTAGGAAGTGAATGAGCTCATCTGAGATAAAAATTAAGTGGAACAAGTAAAAAACTCAACTTCTATGCTATCTCTACCAGGAAACCTTTCCTGACAACTCTTAGCCCACCATTACTTCCCACACACCTGAGGATCACACGCAGATAGGTGAGGCACCCTTCCAGTGTATTCATGGGACACCCTGAATGCTATTTCATGATCACCTTGCACATATCTCTCACACCCACTTCTTGGTTTTGAATGCCTTATTGATCCGCTTTATAGCTTCTTTGGTGAACAAACAGTATTTTCCGAGTCACAGCTAGTTATTTCATTTATCTTTCTCATCCAGTGTAGACAGAACGATCCTAAATATTTGTGATTAATAATTGGTTAACTGACAGTGTTTCTTCCCCAGGACCATTTCCTGTGGTCAGTTTAATGGTGGGATCTGTTGTTCTGAGCATGGCCCCTGATGAACACTTTCTCATATCCAGCAATAATGGCACTGCGTTAAATACGACCATGATAGACTCTGTGGCTAGAGATGCAGCCAGAGTGTTGATTGCGAGCACCCTGACTCTTTTGGTCGGAATTATACAGGTAATGGACTACGTAAAATATGGACTGGGTGGTTTTTACTTTGAAATAATTAACTTTAAAGCATATGGACTCAAAAATTCATCTAAAATCAAAACAAATCAGTTTGCTAGAACCCAAAGCTATTTTCTAAATTACATTGTTTTAGGTAAGATGCTAAAATAGTCAGCAAGACCCCACTTATTAAGGCTCACTTCTCATCAAAGTCAGAAACAGGAAAAAATGATTCAACTGAGGATGAGATTATTTTTTTCTCCATAAAGGAGAAAAATATTTTTCCGGTGCACAGTCATGGGACCTGAAAGTCACAGAAATAAGTGACATGATTTTTGCTTTTCTTAGTACATATATAAAAATACTTCAAGATTTATAATATCTATGGGTTTTAGGATTTTAGAAAATGGGAGTAAGGGAAAAAATAGGCCATTAAGAAATTCAGATTTATTTCCTATAGGATTTTTTTATGCTATAGGCAGACTACCAGTGTTTTAGTTGGTGTTAAGCTTAATTTGTTAATATTTCCAATCAGTTTGTTCTTTGCTCCTGCAAACATTTAATTTTTCCTTCCTTCTTCTTATTCCAGTTGATATTTGGAGGTTTGCAGATTGGCTTCATAGTGAGGTACTTGGCAGATCCTTTGGTTGGCGGATTCACAACAGCTGCTGCCTTCCAAGTGCTGGTCTCACAGCTAAATATTGTCCTCAATATTTCAACCAAAAATTATAATGGAGTTCTCTCCATTATCTATGTAAGTGTTGCTTCTTACTCTGGGGATGGGTTGCCTTTCATCCCAGAAAAAAAACAAAACAAACAAAAAAACAACTGCTGTTTAACTTACTTAGAGAACCTGTATTCCTCCATGTTTATTGTGGGAGTCTTTGAAAACATTCTTCTCTGAAAGAAGTAATAGAATCAGGAATTAATATAAAGAAGGGAGATTTTGCCAATCATTGCTCTCAGTTGGTCTAAATGTTTTCAGAAATGTTACTGTGGTTTAAAACATTAATGAAAAGAAGGTGGTATGATGAAGTAAAGACCAGTCTAGGATGTGATAGACTTCATGTCTAGTCTGTTTTGCCTTTGATAAACTAAGCAACTTTAAATACATAATGTAGGGTTGTGGCTGAAAGCTCAGGTTTGGAATTGGGTGGACTTGGATACAAATTCTGACTCTGCTATGTTCTCTGCAAAGAGGGTTAGTAATAGTATATACCTTACTGGATCGTTAAAGATAAATGAGAACTTGGGACAAGCAGCTGGCGTAATGATTAGATCACTGGACTCATGTAGTCCACTGTGGTTTAAGTCCTGAACTTAAAACTCACTCTGTGTGTGTGCGTGTGTGCGTGCATGCATGCACCCAAGATCCTGAGAGGAGAATGGAGGAGAAGGGATTGCGGCGTGACCATGCCCCCTGGGGGGTGATTTCTTGCTTTCTGTCTCTGTCTCTCTGGTTAGCGTATGTGCCCTATAGCAAAAATCTCTAAAAAAAACCAACCAAACAAACAAACAAAAAACAAAAACAAAAGATAAATGAGAACTTGGTTCAGGGCTTGGCAGGTAGGTAACAATACTTTTAAAAAGGGGGAAAAATGGGGAGGGGTGGCAGCAGGTGGCGTGGAAGTTAAGGCAGATGGATCCCATGTGACGGACTCCACAGTTTGAGTCCCAGACCCAGCAACTTGAAAATCACCCTGGGTGCATGCGTGCCCATGCCCAAAATCCCAAGAGGAGAATGGAGGAAAAGGGACTGCAGCATGGTCATCCCTCCCGGGGGTGGGGTGGGGAAGGGAGGGTTTCTCACTTTCTCTTTCTGTTCTCTGTCTCTTTCTAGCAAATGCATGTGCTCTATAGCACAACTAAAAAAAAAAGTTAATTTGAAATTATTCTTTCAAGACTTCTTTTCTTTCTTCTTTATAAAATGAAAGGATTGGAGATGTATCTATAAAGCCCTTTCTAACGATGAGTCCATAAAATGCATAATGTAAATGTCTTGGCAATTATAGATGAAAAAGAACATTAGATTCAGAGATGATTCAACATGCAAAAGAGATGCAAAAGAAGGATGTAGATCACACTAATTAGATTTGAAAAAAGTTCTTGGCTCTAACTACATAGTCTATATAAAGGATGTTATTGATGCTTGAAAAATGGTGATAATAGTAACATGATGTCACCCTAGTTGGGAAGAATGATACTGTGTAAAAGTAAGGTGTCAACATTAAGAATAGAGTTTGAGAACCACCTATTATTCTAAAACAGTGAAAGGCAATACACGTGTATCTAAGAATTAGTGGGGTTATTAATAACTTGCTTAATTTCTCAATAGTATCATTGTTCTATCCATTCCACAGATATTAAGTGCTTACTACAGGCTAGGAATTATGCTAAACAGTAGGAATGGATAGAGGAGGTGCAATACCATAATGATTAAGATCATAAACTTTGAAGTTCAACAGACTTGAGTTGGAGCCTTGATTCCATCTCCCATGTGACCTTGGGCATGTTATACTTAACGTCTATAAGTCTCTGTGTACTTGTAAAATGGGGGTGTTAATAGTAGCTTAGAGCTGTGAGGATTATAAAAGAAAATTTGTGTAATGTACACACAGTAAGAACTCAGTTTCTTCTTCTTACTTTCATTACATGAAGCTACTCTTCATGGAGCTTACTCACTCCCCAGGGTCCCAGCCTATTATTATAGAAGACATGAACACAGGCAGTTTTATTTTATTTATTAATTTTTTAATTTCAGCATTATTTTCATTTTTCCCCCACTGAGTTCTTGGTACTCTTTGAGACCTTCTGACTACCTTATTGTGTAGCCCCTGACTTACCTTGCTTTTACTTGCTTTCACACTTTCCCCATTTATTGTTCATTTATTCCTTAATTCTCACGCATTTATCCAGCAACTAGTCACTGAATACCTGCCATGTGCCAGGCACTGCTCATTCTCCATACAAACCCACTGACTCCAACACCCACTAAGACATTCCTTACTGAGTGTACTCACTTCCTTATGCAAATATTGCTAGGCACACACCCACACAGATCACAGGAAGCCTGAGCCAATAGTTAACTGGGGTCCCTGCCATTGCTAGACATTTGCACAATGGGAGACTGAAATAGTTCTTTTGGTCTCCTACAACTATGTTTAAGAAGAAGCTAGCTGCAAAGATCCCACTTTTGACAGGAACAAAAGTGACCAGGAAATAGTAGAACAAGGTCAAAAATAGTTTTTAAGCCAAACAGAAACTCTCAACAGGGCCTCGGCACTGCAATCCATCCCTAGCCTCAGCCAGCCAAGGATCATGGTCACATGTGTACCTGGAGTAGTTAGGAAAGTCTCTGGATGGGAAATTTCACAGGTCAACTTCACAGAGTAGTTAAAGCTGTACATTGACTGAATATTATTCTGAGTCTATTACATATCATAGAATTTTGCAAGTCATTTGGGCCAGCCTCATGCCTAGTGGTTAAGGGAGATGAATCCCACGTGACTGACCATAGTTCTAATTCTGGCTTTGTATCTTGAAAAGAACACCAGGTGTGCGGGTGCATATACCCCAATTCCTGACAGGATGGAGAAATGGAGGAGAAAGAATTATAAAGTGACCATGCCCCATTAGGGGGAGAAGTTTTCCTTCTCTCCTTTTCTCTCAATGTGTGTGTATTCGCTCTCTCTCTCTCTGACAAGCATATGTGCCCTCTAGCAATGAAAGAAAAAGAAATAAAAAATTCCTCACAGGCCAGTTCAGTTTTAAGAAAGTATTTAAATCATCCCTATGTTGTGGTGCATAAAAGCTTGCTCCTCAGAGCCAACAGGTGGCATTGTGGTTGGGGAACTGAACTCCTAGATGGGCGACTGCAGTTCAAGTCTCAGACCTGGGACCTTAAAACACTTTCTGTCTCTAGTCAAATTTTTAAAAAATAATCATAATGGTGGATACAATTAAATAAAATAAATCTTTTTAAAAAAAGCTTGCTTCTCTGAAAATAACCAGCAGGTTTGGAAGTGATTATATAAGGGTTAACCAGATCACTTTGGCCCTTAACAGAGTATTTTTGCATATGACATTACCATTACAATCATTCAGGAAAAAAAAAAATCCTTCAATTGATGCAAAGTAGTGGATTCCTCCAGAAAAGACTGTAAGATTAAGATACTTCTGTTGGTGTATAGTCAACATCTCTTCTGCTGTAAGGTTGTATTTGGGTTGTCCTCCCCCCAACCACAAAGAGGTATTGACAACTGGAAATAAGAATACAAAGAATTGGAGGAGGAAATATTAGTAAAGAAAGAAAGAAAGAGCAGAGGGAGTACACAGCACAGAGTTGGCAATAATTCAGAATTAGTAACACTCAATGCTACCATGCAGCTACTTAATTATTTAAGTAAGCCCACACTTCACTTAAGAGTGATTATGTTTTACCCCCATTTACTTTGAATGGTTTGTCTCAGTAAGCAAGGAAAGCCTCACTGTTTGCTTTCTTCTTCTTTTCTGAGAGTTTTTTTTTTTTTTGAGAGGTTTTTGCCATAAGGCATGTGTGCTCACCAGAAAGACAGAGAGATATAGAGAGACAGAAAGCAATAAATCCCCCCACCCACCGCTGGGGGAGATGGCCACGCTGCAATCCCTTCTCCTCCATTCTCCTCTTGGGATCTTGGGCATGCACACACATGCTTGGCATGAGTTTAAGCCACTGGGTCTAGGACTTGAACTGCGGTTGACTACATGGGAGTCCAGCAGACACAGTCATTATGCCAACTGCTGGTCCCTGAGAGATTTTTGCTGTAGGGTATATTTGCTCACCAGAGAGACTAAAAGTGAGAAATCTCCCCCTGGAGTGGGGATAGGGATTGGCCACCTGCAATCCCTTCTCCATTCTCCTCTTGGGATTTTGGGCACATACACACCCACGCCTGGTGTGTTTCAAGCCACTGGGTCTAGGACTCAAACTGTGGTCAACCATGTAAGAGTCCAGCACCTAAACCACTACACAGCCTGGTGACCCCCTTACTGCTTTTTTTCTAAGTTGATGCTACGTTTCTTCCCATAAAAAGGAGGAAAAACAAATACATTGAAAATTTTTGCCGAAAGGTGAGAATTTGAAAGCCATCACTAAGCTTAATCAGATTTGTTACTTTGAACCTATTTCAGCATGTAAAATGTATGCTATTACAATAAAGAAAATAATACCGTAAAAGAGGTGTATATATACACAAAAGATCTGATAGCAGAAAATGCCTGCTGGCAAGTGGTGATTACAAAGGCTTGTTATATTCATAGAGATAAGATGAACTAAAAATATTCAGCTCCAAAAGTTAAACGACAAATTTCTTCATGCATTACTGGGCATATTTTATTTTCCTATGGCTTTATGCACCCAGATGATGCTAGGCAAGAACAAGTAGCAATCATCTAAATGAATTGACCCCTTGGGACCAGCAGTTAGCTTAATGGCTATGTCACTGGACTCCCACGGAGTAGACTGCGGTTCGCGTTCCGGACCCGGTGCCTTAAAACTCACGCCGGGCGCTTGGGCGTGCATGCCCAAGATCCCGAGAGGAGAATGGAGGAGAAGGGATTGTGGCGTGGCCATCCCCACTGGGGGGCGATTTCTCACTCTCTGTCTCTCTGTCTGTCTCTCTCTCTGTCTGGCGAGCACAGGTGCCCTATAAAAATCTCTCCAAAAAAAAAAAAAAAATGAAATGACCCCAAAATTCTCCAGACATAGTAGGAAATACAGCAAAAGATTATACATTACTGAAAAACTCATTAGCATGATTTAAACTATTTAATAGGCTAAAATACTGATTTATACATGCATTCTTGTTTTAAATGTATTTTACTAAGTATCTTAATAGTAAACTAAATTATACTCTCCTTTCTATATCTCTGAGTACAATCCATTTCTATTTATTTGGGTGAGTTTTATTTTTACATAGATTAAACTTCCTGTTAGAGAACTTCTTAGAAGAGATCCTAAATGGTTACTCAGTATGTAGACAATATATACACTCCTATGGCTTATTTGATGTGTGTAGTATAAAGTGATTTTGTTTTTCAAAACTCATATTGCAATTTTAACAAAAATTGTTTTGTTCTTTAAGCTAAGATTTTCAATCCCCAGTTGCAAAACAAACCTTTATTGTATAGACAATTAATCAAAATATTATACCTAGCTCATGAATTAATGAGGGTCATTCATCAGAAAATTGTTTATATAAAGGGCTAAACAGCAGTGGTAGTCTTCAAGCCTCAAGGTTTGCAAGGGTTTCTACTCCTGTTACATCGCCTTAGTTCTTATTCCTGTGTTTGCTTGTGGTCATTGACCTCCCCCTACCACTTTTTTTTTTTTTTTAAACCATGCTGTCATCTGTTTCCTCTTGTTACTGTCAGTGTATCTACCGCTAGCAATTTTCAGTAACTCTGGAAAGAAGACAAAATAAACTTATTAGTATTGGGTTTAAAGTAAGAGCAGAAACACCCTCTTAGTGAAAGTTCAAGAGGCTTCCTAAAAGTTAAGCGTCTGAACTCTAGTCCAAGTGCATGATGGAATGTATTTTGCCTTACACAATAACTTCTACCCACACTCCTGCCCCATTCCCTGACTCTTGAATGTATTCCAAAGAGTTGAGGTTGCTGGCAAGACGACTCCTATATTTCTTTCTTTCTTTTTATTTTTAATTACCAAAGGGTGTGTGTGCTCACCAGAGAGAGAAAGAACACCCTCCGCATGGGGCGTTGGACAGGAAGCAAATTTTTTTACAACATTTCTCCATCTTGTCAGACTCCTGGGAATATATGCACATGTGTCCAGTGTGTTTTCCAAGCCACTGGGGCTGGGATTGCAACCATAGTTGGCCATGTTGGCTACTGCTCCCTATGCCCATGGCTTAATCACTGTGCTATAGGACTATAGCCCCCTCTTCGATTACTTAATGTTTATTATACATAATTGTTATTAGACTGTCATAATAATTATTTTAAGGATAATTCATTTGTAAAAGTAAGCCAAATGAATGTTACAAACTGTAAGATGTGCCATTTGTTTATTTTCATATAAAATGTATCTATAGATAGACTCATTCAAAGAAAAGTACCTGGAAGATGACTTCTCTCAAAGAATTGAGGGCCACCTTCTTAAGTCATGACTTCTACAGGATTGAAGTTAATAAAACGAAGATATTAGTGTTCTTCCTTTGCCAATTTCCTTGAAGAACACCTTTGATTCCCAGAAACCTCTTACTGATGAAACAAAGCTATATTTTCTTTCTTTCTTTCTTTCTTTTTTTTTTTTTTTTGTAGAGGTTTTCGCTATAGGGCGCATGCGCTCGCCAGACAGACAGAGAGAGACATAGAGACAGAAAGCGAGAAATCACCCTCCAGGGGGGATGGTCATGCCACAATCCCTTCTCCTTTCAGGATCTTGGGCACTCATGCACACGTGCCCGGCGTGAGTTTTAAGCCACCGGGTCTGGGACGCGAACCGCCGTCTACTACATGGGAGTCCAGCGACATAGCCATTACGCTAACTGCTGATTCCCAAAGGTAGCTTTTCTTGAGCTAGCTTGTCTACCTACTTGGAAAGTTACTTATATTTATCTTAGTTAAAGTTTTAAGTAAGTACCAAATTAATTTCCAAAAATTTATTTGTGATCTATGTGTCATTTCAATAGCTTTTCTTCGCCATAAAAAATAGACCAATTCACCTGTATTTACATATGAAGCATTTTAGGAATTTTTGCTATTAACTGTATCATTTAGAATGAAGGAAAAGCTTTACCGAAAAGTACTGGCTGTCACCAAAAATCAATTGCAAGTTTTTGCTTTATCTGGAAAAATATTTTATTTATTTATTTGTTTATTTTTTTTAAAGAGAGATTTTTGCAATAGGGTGCATGCATCAGCTGGAGAGACAGAGAGACAGGAAACGAGACGTCATCCTCCATGAGGATGATCACACCGCAATCCCTTCTCCACTCTCCTCTCAGGATTTTGGGCATGCAGGTTTGTGCAGGTGTGAGTTTTAAGCCGCTGGGTCTGGGACTCAATCTTGATAGACTATGTGGGAGTCCAGCAATGTAACCATTACACCACTGTTGGTCTCCTTATTTGTTTGTTTAGCAGGAACAATATGTAGTTATTGGTCTCCATAGGACCCAATGCATTTTTAAAATTCTTTGTTTATTTCATTTGTTATTAGTGTTATTATTTTTTACTATAGGGCATGTATGCTGACCAGAGAGATGCAGCATGGGAAAGTGAGAAAGCAAATTACTAGGCCCAGGACTCAAACCATGGTTGACCGTGTGGAAGCCCAGCACCTTAACCATCATGTTACCTGCCGGCCCCGACTCAGTGCATTTTTATGATTTTATTTGAAACTTTGTAGTGTTATTCAACAATGATACTATAATTTTTTCATGTGTTAAGATGCATATGAGGGGACCAGCAGTTAGCATAATGTTGCTGGACTCCCATGTAGTCAACCGCAGTTCGCGTCCCGGACCTGGTGGCTTAAAACTCACGCCGGGTGTGTGTGCGTGCATGCCCAAGATCCTGAGAGGAGAATGGAGGAGAAGGGATTGCGGTATGGCCATCCCCCCTGGGGGGTGATTTCTCGCTTTCTGTCTCTCTGTCTCTGTCTGTCGAGCGCATGCGCCCTATAGCAAAAACCACTCCAAAAAAAAAATGCATATGAAAACTGATTATGAGGTGTGTGTCTGTGTAGAAGGAAGTATATGAAATATTTTTCTTTTTTCAGACTCTGATTGAGATTTTTCAGAAAATTGGTAATACCAATCTTGCTGATTTTACTGCGGGATTACTCACTATTATCATCTGTATGGCAGTTAAGGAATTAAATGATCGCTACAAACATAAAATTCCAGTACCTATTCCTATAGAAGTGATTGTGGTAAGTAGAACACATTGTTAGACAATTCAGCATTAGTTAGGTTTACAAACAAGGTATTATTATAACCAGTGGAATTGTGTTATTTTACATTTTCTTTTATTTCAGACAATAATTGCTACTGCCATTTCATATGGAGCCAACTTGGAAAAAAATTACAATGCTGGCATTGTTAAATCCATCCCAAGGGGGTAAGTACATGGGGTTCCTTTTGGACAATATTAATATATTGTCAGTACTTTCTATTCAAATGTAACTTTTTATTATATGCTTCATTTTACTTAGTCCTATCTGTGTATGATCTTGAAGACATACCCATTTTGTGCAAACTATCAGACAGGCAGTACATGTACAGATAAAGTTCAAGCCATTTATATAAAAACAGCTTTTATACGTTCTTATTCTTTTCATTTTCTTAAAACATGGCAGAACATGTACAGTTAATACCAAACTCCTGATTTAAATTCACACGTATAATTACAACATAATAGAAACAGAATCATGATTAGTAACATTTATTACACTGTGAACAATCTATTTAAGGAATTAGGGACATTGGCCTAAATTCGCTATCATTTAGTTTAGTCATAGATAATAATGATATCATTCGTGCCTACAAATAAAATGCATTAGAGTTTTAAATATGCCCTGCTCAATTAGAAGAATTAAAAAGAGACCAATGCCTTTCTTGGTCCATCTCTGTTACTGCCTAGTTTTGTGAACCTGGGGTCATTTTTCCTATAAAACAACATAATAACAATGGCCGAAGCTTCAACTCGAGCTTGTTGTGAAACGTCAGTGAGATCTCTCATTAAATGCCTGGAGTGAACCAAGTGCCCTACGCTATCATTTGCCATATAGGATTAGAAAGGAAACCCTTTTAATTATTATATTTGTAACACTAACTTGTGGCATCTATGACTAGACTTACAGCTACTCAGAAGGTAGTGGTTTCCTTCCCATAATGTTAGCTGAGAAAAATTGTACCAGTCTATCTCTCTCTCTCTGTGTATATAGTAAAAATATAATAAAATATAAAATAAATATAAATAATAAAAACTCAGGCAAGCTTATTCTATCAGAAATGATACATTTCCATTGGACAAATATTATATTCTCCTCTTTTTTAAGAGAGAGATGTTTGCTGTAAGGTCCATGCACTAGACAGAGAAACAAAGAAAGACAGAGAGACAGAAAACTAGAAATTGCCCACAGGGGGATAGGCACACCGCAATCTCTTCTCCTCCATTCTCCTCTCAGGATCTTGGGCATGCACGCACATGCGCCAGGTGTGAGTTTTAAGCCACCGGGTCTGGGACTCGAACCACAATCAACTATGTGGGAGTCCAGTGAAATAACCATAACACCATCTGCTGGCCCCTATCTTATGCTTTTTTCTAATAGCTATTTAAAAAATATTTGACAACTGACTGCATAGAACTTAATATACATGTTACTCATTATAATATTTCTCAAAATTACCTCTTTGGAAAAATCACATTGTTATTATTTTTAATAGCATTTTTGTTGTTTGTTTTCTAAATTATTAGAGGACATGTGCACTTGCCAAAGGGAGACAGAGAGAGAGAGGAGGAGAGAGAGAATGCATGCATTCTCCAAAGGGTTGTGGTCACACCGAAATCCCTTCTCCTCCATTTTGGGCATGAATGTGCACCCAGTGTGTTTTTCAAGTTGCTGGGGCCAGGATTTGAACTGATGGTCAGCTATAGGGATCTGATTCTCTTAACTACCAGGCCCTGGGTTTCTCTGTCATGATCTTCCTGCCTCAGCCTCACAAGTACCTGAGATTACAGGAGCATGCCACCTCACCAGCTTTTAGGGTGAACCAGGAACCAGACTCAGGTCTTCCATGTGGCCTAGGCCTATTGAGTAGCACTGTCATTACCCTGGCTGGGTCCACATAAGATCCTTTTGAACACAGATTCCTGGTCCTCACACTAAACCTATTGAATCAGGTTTTCCACAAAATATGCCTAGGAGTTATTATTTTTTTAAAAAAATGACTCAAGTGATTCTTATGATCAGGTAAATTTGGGAAACTCTATACTAGAGATGCAACTTTTTTTTTGGGGGGGGAGAGGGTTTTTGCTATAGGGTGTGTATGCTCGCCAGAAAGACAGAGAGAGACAGAGAGATAGAAAGCGAGAAATCACCCCCCAGGGAGGTTGGCCATGGCACAATCCCTTCTCCTCCATTCTCCTCTCGGGATCCTGGGCATGCACGCACATGCGCCCAGCATGAGTTTAAGTCACCGGGTCTGGGACTCGAACCACAGCTGACTACATGCGAGTTCAGCGACATAGCCATTATGCTAACTGCTGGTCCCAAGATGCAACATTTTGATAGCAAAGTCTAATGCTTGGAGGAGTTTAATTAAAAAGTATGAAATCTGACTATTTGAGTTATGAAGTTTTCAACAAAACAATTAGATTGAGTATTTATAAACAATGACTTAAAATATATTTTATTAATCCTCCTTTTCAGGCTTCTACTATGTAATAAGTTAAGAGTAACCCACAGCACATGCCCTGTCCATAAGTCTATGTTTCATTTCATTGATTTGGAGAGCTCACTTTGACGGCCCTAAGCTGTTCTTCCTGGCCTAGAGAGAGTTCCTGTCTACTTTCTTCCTGAAAATAGATCTCTAGCCTCTTGCCCTTAGGTTTAATCAAGCTGATTTCATGGACATACCACCTAGTCAGGTTGGTCAGCTAAATTAATCTGCCTGACACCAAGAACTATATGCTCTTCCACAAGGGCAGTGACCTCATTTGTGTTGTTCAGCTCTGTCACCCTAACAAAGTACCCATGTCACAGTAGAATCTCCGGAAATATTTGTTGAAGGGATAAAATACTCAAGCCCATGTCATTATGAACAAGCCACAAGAAATGCCTTTGTTATGTGATCTCGCTTGGTAGCACAGAAACAATGCTAATGTTATTAACAAACCTGAGAAAGGGTGGCGTGGAGAGAAGTAAGGAGCAAAGAAAGTAAAGTATTAAAGTGGCTGAGGTGAGTAGAGTCAAAGGAAGAGGTGCCAAGAGACTGTGACGTCCCACCTTCTGCTCTCCTCCCTGCCACGATCCTCCAGCAAGGCTGCTGGTGGCAGCCTCTTTTTATCCTGCTGAGGGTCTAGACCATGTGTTAGGATTGCTCAGTCCTCGGTAACAAAGTCACATTAGAGAGACATGAACTGTGACTCTATGCCCTTCTCTCCACTCCCTTTCTTGACAAAAATGTACAACTGCTCCATGTCAGATTCGCTCAAGCCAGGAGGGCGCGCTTCCTGACTGAGGAGTTATCTTGTACAGCAGACGCTATCAGACAGTCACAACGTTCCTTTCTCCTCACGCAACTGGTCTTTATTCTACAACCCTGTGTGTCCAATTCTCACTAATCAAGCCTAAGCTTCTGTCCTGTTATGGTTGTGTGCACACGCATGCGTGCGTGTCTATGTGTTAACTCACAACAAGATGCACTTCTCTGTCTGCTAAATTTCAATGCCTGATCTCTCTCCTACCTCACCTCTGAGCAAACCAATAGCCAGTCTTCTCCTTACCAGTCTGGCCAGAGGTCTTTTTTTTTTTTTTTTTTTTGAGGGGTTTTTGTTATAGGGTGAGCGCACCCATTAC